TAATGAGCTAGACATTTATAAAAAAATATTAATCATTAAATAAAAAAAGGAATATAGCCAATACTGGTCAAGAAAAAGAGTTTCTATTATTGCCATCTGTACAAATTACAAATTCTGAAAATCCCGGGATTGCCAAGAATTCGGGACCTGAAAAGGCGGGCGTCCCGGGATTTACATTCCCAATACATACGTACCAATTTCAATTGCATTTCTACACACATACGTACATATACACCCATTCATTTCAATTCAACGGAACTCTTTACCAAAACTTATCAATTTGAGTTTATTCATACTAAGTACTTTAAAATTTATCTGCTGGCTGATGTGCGATAAACTAAGCACTAAATTTTTAATTGAAATTTTATCATTTTCATTCAGTACAAGAGCTTTTTTACTATTGAAAGGAAATCCAATTTACTTACATACTTAGATTATTTAATTCAATTATGCAAACTACTTCGGATATAAATAGGCTAAGCAGCGACTTGAGTACATACATTATTCTAGGCCTTCGCTTGGGAAAAGGTTGCTAAATTGCAGAAAAAGAAAATCATACCCTGAATTAAATTTTTTTTTTTTACAGATCCTTCAAAAAAAAAAACAATCAACTAAAAATGGTTAGTTTCGAGGAAGCTTGCGAGTTGGCAAAGAATTTCACAAAGAAGCCCAGCGATTCGGAATTCTTAGAGTTCTACGGTCTCTTCAAACAGGCCACCGTTGGCGATGTAAACGTTGATAAGCCAGGCATTTTGGATTTGAAAAAGAAGGCAATGTGGGAGGCATGGAGCGCACGCAAGGGACTTTCGCAAGAAGCCGCCAAGGAAGCGTACATTAAGGTTTACGAAAAATATGCGCCCACATATGCTTAGAAAGCAAGCTAATTATTTGTGAGTGTATGGCTGCTGTGTGGCCAAGTTAAATTTTTATTTTTTTTTTGTAATAAATAAAGCAAAGCGCATAATGATCATTGAGCAAGTTCATTGAAATTGAGTGAAATCGATTTAAATACATCACATACTTTTAGGCACAATAAACTTTATTTAAGCGCATCTAATTAACGTAAACACAAACGCATGCACATCACATTCAAATGGCCGCTTCCGATTGCGGCATGGCGATGACAGCGGCGATCAGCGGTTTCGTTTGGCGCGCTTTCAACAACATTACACGTATTTGCGAGTTGTCTGGCGTTAGTGTTGGTGGTGGTAGTTTATCGCTTGGATCCAAAACTGCTACGATTTCAAAGTCGATTTTTAGTGGCACGCCAGGCAAAATGCTGGGTAGCTGTGTGGAGGAGAGAGTGAATTAAATGCGACAGATTCAATAAAAATACATATTTTAGTAACTTCTAAGCCCCCACCTTTGCTATTGTCTTTGCTATAGTATAGTGACGACGATCAGCATGCAACAACACCGTCAGATTGGAGGCCATCTTGTAGCTGGACATATTCTGTATGGTTAAATATAAACGAAACTCCGGACCCACGCCACACACCTCTGCTGATAGCTTGACAGGCGCATGTGTTATATCGCCAGAAATGGTGGACTCAGAGGAGTTGATGGCATCGACGGTAGCGCGTGCGGCTACGTAGCGTAAGCGCCAAAGCTCTGCTTGAAAGGCACCGTAGGTTGCTGCAAATGAGAAAATCATACAACGAATATTCGTGGAGAATTTGTGGAATTTTCCAATGCCTATAACTATTATAAAGTCTTTGTGGTTGCAAGATTTGGTTAGATTACTTAAGGCAAAGCTTATCCTCACTATACCTTACGTAAGACAACCTACAGTATCAAAACCTCACCTAGAGCCACCTGATGCCTTTATTCGCTCGAGGCCATAAAGGTGACTTAAAAGAAATGGGTGGTGCTTTGATATTGTGTGGAGGGAGATGAGAGATGTCTTAACCACAATACTAAGTCCAGGCTTACATATAGTAGAAACTTTATTGATGCTTCGAAAACTAGAACAAGGTAAATAGCTGGAATCCGCCTTGCTTTGTTGAATATTACCCATTGATATCTCTATAAAAAATTCAGCTGCTAACAGCGTCATCAGACTGCGTGCGCTGGGGCTCTGGAAGGAACGACCGTTCGGGCACGGTTCCAGCCTAGACGCAATACGTCTGAAATTAAAACGCTGATCACTGAATATATCCTGTCGAAGACCTGGGTTCACCAAAAACCAAGAAATTCCCAAGCCGCAGTGATTGGAATCAAGAAAATGTCGGGTTCTTGCAGGGCTTAACTGTCTTTACGGATGGGTCAAAGATGGAATGCGGAGTTGGTGCAGTTGGTTTTAATTGAGCAATGTACCTAAACCTAAACCTAAAGTCAACCTTCCGCCACCAGACTATGCCAGCGTTTTCCACGCCGAAGCGTTTGCTATTAAGAAAGCAGTAAGGTACATCAAAGAGAATGTACCCGCCAGAACACAGGTGAACATCTTCTCGGATAGCTAAGCGGCCATTCAGGCACTCCCTTCTACCTCTGTTAGATCTCAACTAGTCGATGAATGTAGAACAGAGCTGGCCTATATTTCTGATCAATACAAAATTACCCTAATATGGGTTCCGGGACATAGGGGCATTTACGGAAACGAGGCGGCGGACGAACTAGTAAAGAGCGGCTCCACACTGAATGTGTCCCACGCGGTGGATATGGGGGCCTTGCTCAGGGAGATTAAAACAAAAATTACCCAAATTTATCATTCGAAGGCCAAGCACAGGTAAAACTGCACAGGAACTTACAAGATTACCTGGCAGTTCTGGGTGTCCTACGGCCCACTTAAAACCAAAGATCTCTTAGGAATAAACAAAACAGATGCCTACAAATTTACTGCAGCGGGAACAGGGCACTGGCCCATTGCGGTGCAAGCCGAGAGGATAGGACTGCCGTTCAATAGGTTATGCCGCAACCACTTCTCAACTAGTTTGGCAATGCAAGTCTCGGTTTAATTACTTTTGGAAACATAACGAACTCGTTTTGCTCTGGGTGCCAGTTTACTCGAGAGTCTGGTCCGCAGGCAGTTAGGGCACGGCCACTGTTGGCCATCGAAGCCACCATCAATGACTAGAAGACTCCGGGGGGCTGAAGGAGAGAAAAACTTATGTTGCCATTAATCTCAAAAGGTCTAGATAGGTATTTGCTTTCATTGAGTAGATCGAACTGCAGACAACTTATGATATCGCTGAATGGCCATTCCTTTTGGTACAAACATTGATCTGTAAATGGCCTACATGACAGCCCCAATTGCTCCTCTTGCCTTGAAAAAAAATTTTTTTTCTACACCTTGAAATGAATTCTTCTTTTAGAAATCCAAGAAACTGTTAAGAGACTTTTCCATCAAGACTATTTGCTCCTATATGGTTGTTATCATAGATTTGCTGGCTGTCGCAAGGGGCTTTCACCAGCAGACTACGTCATCTTATGGGGCGTCCCTGAGGGCCGATGTCAGGGTCCGAAGGAGCTGTTTATCAAGCTTATGCGAAATATTAATGGAAATGGACTGAAATGAAAGTAAACTCAAGAAAATCGGCACTAAAAACTTAATGGAACATATTCGAAGGCGGTTCGTAGGGGATTCCGAAAATCAAATGGGCGGGAATTGAAAAATATTGGCTAGGGTCTGCGAATGTTACATCCATCAGTCCCATAAAGACATTCATCTTGATCGGTGTGCCATTCTACAACAATTACGACCTTACTCAGCTCATGTATGTTAAAGAAGAATGTAATCTCTAGTATGAGATGAGTCCATGCTCGACGGCAGCGCTGGACCTAATAATTGAACTCGAGCCACTAAATCCTTCAGTTGAACAAGCGGCAAAGCAAACTCTCCTTAAATTTTGCGAGGCGGACAATACGGACTAGCTAGGCCCCCAACTGCTACTAGTTTTGTTTTCCAGAGATGATATACATATCGTAGTTGTTTCCGAAAGAAGCTTTAAGGTTGACATATATATTGGTCAGTATTTTTGCCGCCTCACCTTCACCAAACCCAACTTAAGTCGTATTTGCCTTAGGAATATTAGGCTCCGCAAACGTCTCGCAAATACAAAAGCTCTCAAATTAAATATCTTCAACATCACTTACCTTTGGCATTTTGCTTTTCCCTAGCCGCCTGCTCAACAAATATCGAGCTTTTCTTGGATTTTTCCAAAATCGTTTCAACCATCACTTTATTCTCGAGATTCCCTTTAAGCGCAAGCAATTCATTTGGATCGAAACCTGCAGTCCGCCTCAAAATTTTTACAAATATTTCACCTTCAACGCTAACCATATTCAACACATAATCTTCGTGTCCAGTACGTCCGAAGCACATTGCACCGATTGTAGAGACCATGTGGAACTCATTAACTAAATATCGTTGTAGGTACAGTTGCACCAAGCCACCCTCGAGTGCCACACAACAAAGTGTGATGCCCAAATGTGGCAAACTAATTGGAATCATACACATCGGTAGTGCCGAAAGTTTATTCACATACAATTGCTTGCCCTTCTTCGAATAGCAAACGAGTCGGCAATCCATTGCACACACAGTAATCGTTTGATCCACCGGCAACAGCATTACACCGGTAAATGGTTGTGAAATTTTGAATATTTCTTGACCCTCCTTGATGGATTTTCGCAGCAGGTAAACGCCGCCATAGCGTGTAGCAACCACGATGCGAAAATCTGTCTCAAAAGTGCCATGCACAGCTATCATGGATGGGGCCGTCTCATAGGCGCAAGTCTTTGCCTGATAGATTAAACCGAAACTTTGTGGTTCCAGCACCAGGATATCACCATTATCGGTGGCAATGACCAAATGTGAGGGTGGATTCGCATCGCTGGATATTCGCTCCAGGCATGCCATGGCAACTATGTTCGCATGACGCATTACCGTTGCTTCTGCATACTTCATAATGAAGTCCTGTGGGTGGGAGAGAGAGAGAGCGGTATTGTTTTAGGAGTAGTAAATAATAGTAGTTAGTAGGGTGATACATTACATTTTGTTCCTCTAGTGGCAGTTGTATTAGCTTTTGTGACTTTCGCGACATTTTGGGACGTTCAATGGTCTTCAGGCTTTCCACCAGGGCTGGCTGTTGTTCCACGCGTACGGTCGGCAGCTTACGCCAGAGATCTGTTTCCATTTCATCTGCCTCTAAGCCAGGCACTGTATACTTGAAATAAGGTTTCAAATTTCGGAAAAATAGCACTGATTCAGCAATGGCCACTGCAATGACTACAAAATAAAATACAAAATGTGTGTGTTTGTATGTATGTACTATGCTATTTTCTAGCATCAACTCTTCCAGTTAGAAGTTATCAACCTACTTGGCGTTTTTGGCTCCGATTCATCGTTGTAGAGACTTTGTATGGCAGCTGGTATGCCGTTGAGCTTCAATTCTGTATGCAGCGTAGTGCCACGAAAGATTTTCAAGGTCGCTGTCGGTTCATCGTCTAATGAGATATCTGCCGCAATGAGTCGCACGTAATTGTCGCATTTAATGTCGCACAGCGTCATGCAGCTGGTGACGGTGTTTAGACGCGGTCGCGGCTCGTCTTCATCCACTATGACCTGCAGCCATTTGGAGTTGACGGACATGATTTCGAGTAAAGTAAAAAAGAATTTTTGTAAATTTCTAAATGCTTTCGCGTGAAGTTAGACTATTGCACAGCTGATGCCGTTTACTGCAGTTTATTTTGCTCATAAAATTATTTACACTTTGTTTTGGTACACATTTGTTTACCTTAGCAACACAGGACTTTCAAGCGTGTGGCCATATTTTTCCAATTTTTCATTGGTGTTAAAGGCCTTTACTCTTTTGGAGGTGCTCACATTTCTAGCTGCTGTAGAACTACTTTTAGACTGGTGTTTGTTTGCGATGTGCGTATTGATGTTGTCACACAAATGAAGGGTCCTACACTTTTAGGCCGTTGCCACAATATTCGGTTCAGGGCGAGCTGCCTCGATGGCAAAAGCCTTTGCATACAACCACACTGACGATCACTAATTAAAGGAAAAGTACCGGTGCGAGAAGCCCCAAGGCTAGGTTATCGCACAAAAGCGGATTGAACTGAGAACCCGGTGATACCCAGAATATTATAAGCTTTCCAGCCAGCTAACAGCAAGTGTTGGATTACTGCGGAAGAACATGGCATGTAGAAGAACTGTGGTAAGACCAAGGACACTAAAGTCACTCGACATGTTATGCATACCTTTTATCGTCTGGCTAGCTCAGCGAACAGAGAAGATAAGGAGGACTTCGTAAAGCTGCAAGAGGAAGTGCTATAAACGAACTCAATAAGCCTGGATTTTGGAGGGCCAACGAGCGGTAAAGATATTTTTTCTAAAGACACCAGATCATAGGTGACAAAGGCACCAGTGGAAATGAGTCCAGCCAACATTTCCAAATGTTGTATAAATGTAAAGCAGGACAATCCAACTCCGCCCTCATCATATATAAACGCTGACCGGTAATATACAATAGTAGATTCGTGGAGCTGTACAAGGCTGCGATCGATGGAATAACCAAAGTCAACTCAAGAGCTCATCTAAAAGTGGTTGAAGCCCAAGAAATGCCATACAGACCCAGGGGGATAGCTTACGATACCGATCACTCCACAAAAGAAGTTATCACCTAAGTTGAAATTTCAACTGACGTAAAAAATCTTTGTGTGCGGATTTTTGATTTACTTACTTAGCTTTAAGAGCAGCTTGGCTATCGCTGCAGTTACACAAAGTCCTACCTCCTGTTATTCACCACGTAGTCTATAAACTTGAGTACGAAAACTGTTTCTATCGAGATCAGTATTGTGTTTACCGAATCCAACGCAGAACTAGTCTTGCCAACAAGTGCTACTTTGGACTGAGTAGGCAATTCAGGAGTAAAGTCCTCTCTCGACGTACGAAAACCCCACTCTATACGTGACTCACCATGCCCGTGCTGGTAACTATATGGCGCAGAAGAATGGACAATGAAAACATCCGATAAGGCGGCTCTTGTAGTATTCGAGAGAAAGATTTTGCGGAAGATTTATGGGTCTTTACGCGTTGGAGAAGGCGAGTGCCGCAAACGGTGAAACGATGAGCAGTATGAGCTTTACAACGACATATGCAGCGAATTAAAATACAGCGGCTCCGCTGGATTGGCCATGTCATTCGATTGGACACCGACGCTCCAGCTCTGAAAGTATTCAACTCGGAACCCGCATTAAAGAAGGGCAGATCACATCATATGCATGGGCCTGGGTGTGGATATCAGTGGCGTTAACTCAAACAAGTAGCAATCAATTACCAAGCAACAGAGCAATGAAAAATTGAAGTGTCTAGAAGATAGGCATGGGTAACACTGCTCTGTGCGGCGCAATTGCGTTAATGCCGTACCCGCAGTTGCCGCGCCAACTCCAATATATGAAAAGCGCTAGCGCCATTAACACCAAGAAACACATGAGACACACACACGCAATTCGCCTTAATTCTTTGAAAACTTAAACGCATTTGTTTTTGTTTTCGAATGGTGAGAACGCCAGAAATGTATGTACTTTGGCAAATTTAAATATTTTACTCAAGAATGATGAGAATATCGTGGCATTTACTACATTTTGCGCTGAGTAAGTGCGCTGACACCACAGGTGGCGCCTTCGTTATTGAGCTAGCGCCATAAAAATTGCGCTATTACTCATGGCTATTAGAAGAAGGCTGTTATTGAAATGTCACACCCAGCTAGAAAATCGATACGTACGTAAAAAAAAACTATTCTGTTACAAAAGTTATGCAAAAAAAAGAAAGAATAACCGTAACCCAATCGTAACTTTATTATTCTAATGTTTAATATAGATGTAAGTTTTCTTTAGTATCTCCCACGCACTTTCTTTTACTTTTCTAGGCAGCTGAAAAAACTTAAGAAGAATTCGCAATTGCAATTTTTTTTTTATTCCCTCTTTGCATATTTTATATTCAACATTTAGAAAGTGATACAAATTTCCACGTGCAGGTATGTAAATTGACTTATTCAACGCCATCAGCGAGCATGAGCATCGAAAAACACGCCCATTAATCAGACAACTGCTAAAAGCAGAACGTGCTGTGCTCAATTTATATTTCGATTTAAAACAACAACTTACTCTACAATAAGTGTCCACATGAACCAATTTGACTTGAATATGGCATGCGAAGACCAATTACCGGCATTTTGACCAACTACTGAGTTGCTGGCTGGCTGGCTGGCTAGCAGGAACAGGTCTCCAATGGAATCAACTAATAAAGAAAAGCAAACAAAAAAAAAAATGCAAAAAGAAACCTGTAGTGACCATGACTCAGTAGATATGGGTATTTGGAAAGCAGTAGAAAATTTGAAGAGATGCAAAAAAGTGTAAAGATAAACAAAGTGTAGGAAGCTGTAGAGCTGCCAGAAATATCAAAACTGAAACAAACCGGTATCTGGAGGTGAAGAGTAGCTGAGGCTAGTTATGGGAAAAACCAAAATAAGTAAATACATTCAAATATATAAAAAATATTTTACTTAATTACACCAAAATGCAGCTAAAGAAATAAAAGAATACACAAATTTTGGAAATATTTTTCAGCCTCTAAAAAGGTGGCTCAGTTATTTGTGAACAGAAATGGCCCGAAAAAACTATAGTTGCGGTGAAGAGTGCCGAAAAAATGGCATTTTTTTAATGCGTAATTAAGCGCATACGTGTACTAGGGCTTTCGAATTAAATACCGCACTGCCTTGAAAGGCAATGAGTCAGGCGCCCACTTAGCATACATACAAACACACACCTGAAAGGAATTCTTGTGGTCAATTTTAACTTTGGCCAACAGCGTTGATGACCGGTTGATGGTTGCTGCGTTTGGCATTCAACTGGTACAGTGATGTGTGCCCCTGCAGGAAAAATACCATGCAATAAAAAAAAAACTATAGATAACACACTTATTAGGGTTTCTACCGGTTATTTTGATATGGGTGGTTTTTTTTGAAATCATGATTTTTCGAATATCGAATAAACTTTTTTTTTCATTTCATACAAATCTTGGCCTCTTAGTAAAAGTTTTGAGTTTTTGAAGTTTTCAAAATTATGTCCTACGTTATTTGGGGATGGACATATTTGATTCCAATAAATAAATGATTGGCGCTTAAACGTTTTCTACGTGTTTAGCCGAGATTCTCCTCTAATACGTGTTCTTCTTTTTGATGTGACACAAATGGAGATCTTCACTTTTACGCCTACACGCGGAGGTTTGCTATTGTCTGTCGAGGGGCGATCGTTATTTGAAAAAACATTTTTTGATGTTGCTAGGCCCGAAAATGGAGCCATGGACCTCCCAAGTGGCAAGAGATAACCTCTAAGCACTCGGCTACGGCAGCAAGAGGTCTGAAAAATGCAATAAAATATTTAAAAAAAACCAAATAAGACTAAACGTGATTTTTTTACTGATTTGTATTTTTTTTATTTTTGATATAAAAAAACTTTGTATTTGCACTAAGTGGTCGACGAGTGGCCTTCTGGATTGCAAGCACCTCCCTTAAATTTCTGGACATCAAACGACCTCGGTACGATTTTCCTGAAGGGTACCGTATTTTTTATCTCAAACAGTTATAGCCACAAACTCTTTGCACACGTGTAAATCTTAAAATCAGGCACGAGAAGAGTAAGCAACGAGCGGCAAGTTGAACCACGTCTAAATAATACATAATTGATTTGACTTAAGGTTTTTTCGCACCTTAAGTAGCAAATAAAGAAATTTTCTATATATCACTTACGACTATGGGCAATTATTCGCAGGCACCCCACATTTTGAATTTTCTTGTGGTTTATGCTTTTGTGCTGATATTTATTTATTTTTCTTATTTGCATATTCCACCATTTTGGGTGAGGTTTTGCAAATTACTTCAGTCGTTTAAAATAAACTCGCGTTAATGTATCTGACACAGTTTCAGAACTTGCTAATTTCTGTAAATAGTCTTTTGGCCTGTTTTATATATTTACTCAATTTTGGGACAAACATTGAAAATATAACGGGACTACTACAAATTAGGCGCCATTCATGTTCTTCTTCTATCGCCTCGTTTCTTCGAAGCTTCTAGCAAAATAAATGAAACAACTTTCTTGTTTTTTCTCAATGCAATAGAGCTACAAAAATTCATTACTTAAGAATAGAAAAATAAAACTTGTTCTAGTTCGCTTTAAGGGCCGTTTTGTTTAAAAATGATTTGTAGCCCTGGAACTGGAATTTCCGATGACCGATAATGGGGATGGTAAAGGCAATATTAGTTATAAAGATAATGGCAAATGTAAAATAATTAGTAAAGATAACGGGTAAATGTAACGCCTAAAGATACAGAAAATGAAGAAAAACTTTAGACATATAGACCACTAGCAGTGTTGATTTCTTACTACTGTACCCTCTATTAAGTTATTTCATTGCAAATATTTGCGAGAAATCACTCGGGTCGGATTGGAGTTGTGGCTTCTGAATCTCTAGCAATACGGACTCACCAATTGAAATTTAGCCTTCATAAGCCCTCTAGGATTAACGAGTATTAAACTTCAAAGGCCCAAAGAGCCATCAATGCCACATAGACATCACTCAAGTAT